TCGCTGTGCAGAGTTGCGTCCCTTGGGCACGCCAGAAACCTATGATTGTGGGTTCACTCACTCACTCACTCACTCACTTGGGTCGGCTTGGAGGGGCTGTCGTTTTAGCGGTTGATGTTGATGTTGTTTCTTGAATGGGCGGGTCTGATGCTTTCATGGAAATGGACGGTTCCATACAGTGGGAAGGTGATGTGGCGGATGTGGATGGTTGTATGGGTGATAATGTGGGTTGGTTTGGGAATTGTGATAGTTTTATGATGAACGGCTTCTGCTCCATCGGGTTCCTGCATAAGACGTTATATCATTAGTTTTCCATTAACATTCGTGTTAAAATAGTGAATGCAAATCAAATTGATCAGGGAATCAATTCATAATAGTGTATTTAGGTATGCAATATAACCTCCATATGCCCTTTCCAGCACACAGTGCTTATTTATCTATATTATAAAAGGTAACATTTGTATACATACACCATATTTCTCCTCAAAAAAGGGCGTGGCCATATAGAAATGTGCACCACCCCAATCGGCACAAAACTCCAGGTACACATCTGCTCCTGTGGTCGTTATGAACTCTTTTACCAGTTTGTTATAAATTTGACATAAATACATGTTGTACATGATAATATACATTAATATTAGGTTTGGTGTATTGTCTGTTCATTTTAAGAGTGTATCATAATTGTCATTATTTCTTTTCTCATAGATGAAATCAGCCATGTTTGACGCTACAGGCATGACAGTCAACCATGACTTTTCAACTGTCACACACTTATCTTTTGCTGCTGAAATAACAGGATGGAGGTCATGGTTGAGGCACTTGCATTACTTTCAAAACCCTGAAAGTAAACGTCCGCATGTTGGCCATGACCAGAGCCTCCATCTTGATGCGCACCTAGTGAATTGTGTGCGACAGTGTCAGCAAAACCGACAAATATGCAGGTGTGTATATTATTAATAATTTAGTACTTATTTGTTATACTGTGCTTCAGTGTGTATGGGTTTCAGACACTTTTTGCAATATTTCGTCAATATAACGGCGGGGGACACCAGCATTGGTCTTCACCCATTGTACCCATAATTATACATTTCTTGAAACTTGTATTACGTACACTAGCAATTGGTAACGTTACACATTTAATTGTATGTGCATTATTTTCATCCTGTAACACTGTATGCGCTTTTAATTTAAACAGGTATAAGGCCATTTGCGGGGATTTTTCCTGTAAGGGAACACCCTTATCAAAGATCATGGTTACCACTGCAGACAGGATGGAATCACTCAAAATAGAGAAGCGTACAAAAGACGAACTAATGACCTTGGTGGAGGTCAAATTGCAACATGTACAGGTATGAAACGTGTACTTTTGATAACATAGTAGTAATCGTTCATGTTCATAGATTACCCTAACTTTTGTATTCTTTGGTATGTATGGTATTTATATTTGTATGTGTATATTAATATAGTAGTTGTTTCAGGCTGATGATGACATGCGTCGTCAATGGAAGGCAATACGCTCCCGTACAAAGACAAAAATACTTGTCTTTTATAAAGAGCTCATGGATGTGGAGGCTGCCATAGAATGCGACGCTCCTTATGACGGTAAACACATATTGTATACGACCCGTCTATTTACAGACCGCCGTCATATAGCTGGAATATTGCTGAGTGCGGCGTTAAACAACAAACCAACCAACCAACATATTGTATACTGAATAAATTACCATTTTAATCAAAGTTAATTTCCGCTTGGAAAAGCTTTTGGCTCTGTCCTTGGGGTCCTCAATGAAAGCCTGTCCTCTACGGCCCGTGTGGTGACCTTTTGATGTGGATGACGTCTTTTGGACACCTGTCTTTTTCCATGTTGCCCCCTCTTACTCTTTGTTTTCATCTGTACTTTACTTTCCTTTTACATTCAGCAACAATGTTGTATTTTGAATGTGGCAATAATGAAATTTCATGTTGTTGCAGCTGGATGATGTTATATATCTCTTCATGTAAATAACTGTTTTCCTATGCAATTTAGTGATTTACATCCCTAAATGAAACCTATGATTGTGGGTTCGTATCCTGGTTCGCCCCGATTATGTTTCTAGGTTTGTCAGCACCATACCCGTGCTCGTGGGTTTCACCGAAGTGGTAAACGTCTGAGACCTGCATCACTTCAGGCTTTCCTCCCACATTAAGCTGACACGCCGTGATATAACTGGAATACTGTTAAAAGCTGCGTTAAATCCCAAGTCACTCACTCACTCACTCACTCACTGGAATACTGGCAGGTCAGTGTGTGTTGAGAGGGGATATTAATGCCGTTCTGGTGGAAATTGAGAGTTGTATCGTAGCGTAATAGCAATGTGACAGGTCAAAGTTGTTGTAAAACGAGTGAATGGCTGTTTCTAAATGTTTATCAACGCATGTACTGAGGCACGTGTTCATGTCGGCATGTGTTGCATAGTGGAGAATGTAGTACCGTACTGATCAAAAGTGACGTACCATCTTACGAAGTTTTGCTCAGACGCCGCAAGGCGGATTACACCTTTTTATAGGGGTTAGTGGGTGCGTGTATTCACTCAATTAGGGGTGTTTCACTCAGGTGGGGCCATTTCCTTTATTTCAGGGGGTATCCCCTAGGGCTGGGACGAGTCAAAATGTACTACCCGGGTACCCACCCCCCTATTACCCGACCCTACCCGGGTACCCACTGTAGGTCTCAAGAGATGCAAAATGTCCAGTTGGGAATTCTTATTACCACAGCACTTGCAAAACGTATTTAGATACATGTATTAAACGATCTGGTCATGCATACACTGAAGTTGGCTTAAGTTAGATCTTTATTCAACCATATGAAAAGTCAGAAGGAATGGATGGATAGTCAGAAAGAAATGCGAACATTAATGACTTGTAGTGTAACCATAGAGTTCTAGATAATTTTTGTCATTAAACTATATATCACATGACTATCCACGGGCCCGGGTAGTCCTGTGGGTACCCGGGTTCTACTCAGTACCCACCCGACCCGGGTACCCGAGTTACCCGTCCCAGACCTACTATCCCAACATGTTGTGGCAAGGACAAGACATTATTTTGTGGTGATTCTAATTTGTCAGTGTACATTCGTGAGGACATTTGGAACTACTTATTCACCGGCACAATATTGAAGTAACATCGTTAAACAATTTAACTATAGCCTGTTTGCTTTAACCCGTCTCTTCATATTGATACTATATGCATGTGCTATAGGTGCTTGCAGCCGTGTTTACGCATGTATAATGTATAAATGTGTTTGTTTACGGGTATACATGTATGTGTATGCGCGTGTATGTCCATGTAGGTATATGTGGATAAATTTATTATGACTATCCTGCTAATCCTTTGGAAAGTAGTTGCCTTCTCCATCTTAAAAGCCAGAGCTCATGGCAACAAGGGATATTTCTTTGTTTTTATTCTCTGTATCATCTTCTATCAATATGCAAAACAACTCATTCCAGTTGGTACATGCCTATATTTCAAGAGAAAGATGGATTATTAATACATGGGAGTAAATGATAAAATACATATAGTCTCAGCTAATTGTAGAGGCCTAGCCGCAAAGACCAAAAGAAATGAAGTCATGAATTTACAAAGAAAAAAGAAATTCTCTATCATTCTCTATCATTTGTTTGCAAGATGTTCATATTTCCAATTTCAAATCTTATGAACAATGAATGGGGACTTGATAGTGTTATTGCACCGTACAAGTCAAATGCACGAGGTGTAGCAATCCTCTTTAACAAGAATTTTGAATATAAAATACAGAAGAGGTGTGTTGACGATAATGGTAATTATATTATTTTAGACATTGCGGTAGACGTTTACGCTCACCACAGTGTATGGGCCAAACTCCGATCACCCTTCCTTTTACAAAACATCATTTGAAAAAAATGATGATATGGATAATGCCTCCTTGGTAGTATGTGGATATTGGAACTTTGTCCTTGATCCTTCGAAAGACCTACAAAACAATACAGATATCAACAATCCTAATGCAAGGAAATTAGTCTCAGATAAAATTGAATCATTAAACCTAATAGATGCATGGAGAGAACTCTATCCAAACAACAATACATTTACTTGGTGGAAAAACAACCCTCGTCAAGCTAGACTGGACTTTTTTCTGGTGTCTGAAGATCTTTTTAATGTCACTGTTCATTCTTTAATCTAGGGGGCCCGGGTGGCCCAGTCGTCTAAGGCGCCGCGATTCGCTGTGCAAAGTTGAGTCTCTTGGGCACGCCAGAAACCTATGATTGTGGGTTCGAATCTCGGTTCGCCCCGATTATGTTCTAGGTTTGTCAGCACCATACCCGTGCTCGCGGGTTTCACAAAAGTTGTAAACGTCTGAGACCTACATCACTTCGGGCTTTCCTCCCATATTAAGCTGACACGCCGTGATGTTGGTTGGTTTGTTGTTTAACGCCGCACTCAGCAATATTCCAGCTATATGGCGGCGGTCTGTAAATAATCGAGTCTGGACCAGACAATCAAGTGAATGATATCCTGAGCATCAATCCACGCAATTGGGATCGATGACATGTATCAACCAAGTCAGTGAGCCTGGCCACCCGATCCCGTTAGTCGCTACCCAATGCTCCAATGGAAATTCAAAGAATTGAATTTTTAAGGATCCACCTTATGATTTTGATAAGCTACATACACGATGTGAATGTGACTGTTCAGCAGCATGATGACTAATTGATAGAACATTTGATGGACCTTATTATTCGGCATGTTTGCCGGGAAGGATAAATGTACATTATTAGCAGGAATACAGTGACTTGATTTTTGACAATTCACCCGAACCCACTTTGCTTCATTTATTTATTTTGATCTGTAACAAATAGTGAGTGAGTGAGTGAGTTGGGTTTATCGCCGCTTTTAACAGTATTCAATTTATATCAAGGCGTGTCAGCCTAATTTTGGAGGAAAGCCCGAGGTGATGCAGGTCTCAGACGTTTCGGTAAAACCCATGAGTACGGGTATGGTGCTGACAAACCTAGAAACATAATCGGGGAGAAACGGGTTTCGAAACCACAAACGTAGGTTTCTGGCGTGCCCAAGGAACACAACTCTGCACAGCGAATCGCGGCGCCTTAGACGACTGGGCCACCCGTGGCCCATGTAACAAATAACAATAACTATGCCCTTATTTATAATGCGCCAAATCCATGCCTAAAAGCGTGCTGAAGACACTACAATATGAAACCGGTCAATGGATCAGTGTGGATAGTTCGATTCTTATTCTCAGCTCCCTAGGGAGTACACTACCCAAGCTGCCTTTGAGACACATTACCACCTTATCTCTCCGGGTACCCACTCCACTGCTGTGTGAACAAAGGCACATTTCGAATACCACTTACCTACGGAGACACCACATTTGATACATGTGCTTCAGTGTGGGGCAGGACCGAAGCCCTGGCAACTCTCAGGAGGCAGACTGCTGAACGCGGTCACCTATCCAACTCCACTCCGAGACCGACGTTGCTTACCTCCACCTGATTTGTGACCCGTGATGTGTGACCACCATCATTGTAAGCCATGTTTTCCGCGAAAATAATTGTATATCATTTACACAAAATCATGAACTCAATCTTGAAGTACATCGATTTAAATTTGGCAGAATGTGGATTAAAAGGGAGCAGTTGAAAGTTTGATTTTGTGACCGCTTAGTGTACGGTTTGCCCACTATTGAGGTTTTTCAAGATCGTATGTGCCCTCAGTCTATCATCGTCGCGCATGGGTCACAACCTTACCAAACAAACGCTGTCCATCTTCAGGAAATTATGAGCTGTTTGATCCATCAAGATGCGTGGATCGATGCTCATGATGTCGATCACTGGATTGTCTGGTCCAGACTCAATTATTTTACAGACCGCCGTCATATAGCTGGAATATTGCAGAGTGCGGCGTTAAACAACAACAAAAACAAACAAACAAAATAATGCACATGTAAGAAAGAAATGCACACGTGTTGAAATAGTGTTACATAGTTGAAGAGGAATATGAATATTTCTAAATAAACCAAGGATTAATAGCGCAGTAACTTCTATTATCTCATTCTCAGAGGAGCACCTGATATACATTAATCGAGGAGTCCTATACATCTGTAAATCCTTCTGCTTGCAAAGTGACTGGTGCAGCATGACCATGTAGGTTATTTCCATGGGAATTATTCCGGACCAGATTTATCGCGTTCTTCGCTCTGAAAGAGATTTAAAAATTGACTTTCACTTCACAGTGAGTGAGTTTGGTTTTACGCCGCTTTTAGCAATATTCCAGCAATATCACAGCGGGGACACCAGAAATGGGCTTCACCCTTTTGCGCACAGATAGTGTTGTCTAGTAATTGTCTGCAATTGGTCCTTCATAAGTAAATTGCTTCGTTAATTATTTGTGGAAAACAACTGACACGGCTGTATGAAGATATTCACCAGGTACGAGGCGACTTTTCAAGGGAGTCGTGTACACTCACGCAGAGAGGGGCATCCCCGTATTGCACATGTATTTATAAGCACTGATTTATCTCAGGCTAATAGGTCAAACAGACACTGAATCTGTGACATCAATGCAAAACTGGTGAAACTCTTTTTAGTTCACTGAGAGTGGAATAAAATACATGTCCTCTTAAAAGGTGAGTCAATTTAGTAACGCACACGTACCAGTTTTACGAGTTTCGACCCTGGCACGGGGAAAGTTGGAATATCACCAGCTTGTCTCTTCAACGAACTGCTGCTCTGATGACAGTCTAACAAATATAAGCATCCTTTGAGAGTAATACAATTCAACCAGGACTATATTGTTCATCAATGTTTTCTTAATGGTATAGGTTTATAACGGTACATATAGTTTAATGAATGTGACCTGTAACTGTTACAGCCAACACAATGATTTATATCGTCCAGTCCAATGTAGCAGGGACAAAGGAATTATTACAAATTTCGGCTCACGTTTTTCAAACATTGCCGTCTACGATCTACATGCCTTTGGACTTTATGCCTGTGATGATCCGGGGTAGAACACTTCTTCAGCAACCCATATGCATTCTTGCTGCAAAAGGCGACTAAGCTTGTCGTAAGAGGCGACTAACGGGATCGGGTGGTCTGGCTCGCTGACTTGGTAGATGCATGTCATCGTATCCCAAATGCGTGGATCGATACTCAAGATGTCAATCACAGGATTGTCTGGTCCAGACTCGATTATTTACAGACCGCCGTCATATAGCTGGAATATTGCTGAGTGCGGCGTTAAAAAACACATAGATAAACAAGAAACACTTTGGACTTTAACCCTAGGTTACGCTGACATGCCATGATACACTTAATGTACTAATGTATACATTATCACACATGTTTTGCTTTTGAACGATACCTTATTGAAGTCACAGTATATCAACACATTGTTGGGACAACACGATAAGTAGCCTGTAATGACAGCCATACTGATAATCGCGTTCCAACCTCTTGAACACATTCATTGGTTTTCTATTGGTTGCTGAGGAATGATGCTGAGCAATGATGCTGAGGAATGATGCTAAGGAATGATGCTGAGGAATGATGCTGAGGAATGATGCTAAGCAATGATGCTGAGGAATGATGCTAAGGAATGATGCTGAGGAATGATGCTGAGGACTGATGCTGAGGAATGATGTTGAGGAATGATGCTGAGGAATGATGCTGAGGAATGATGCTGAGGAATGATGCTGAGGAATGATGTTGAGGGATGATGTTGAGGAATGATGCTGAGGAATGATGCTGAGGAATGATGTTGAGGAATGATGTTGAGGAATGATGCTGAGGAATGATGCTCAGAGATGCAGACGCCGATGAGTGAGTGTGTGAGTATGGTTTAACGCCGCTTTTAGCAATATTCCAGCAATATCACGGCGGGGGACACCAGAAATGGGCTTCAAACATTCTACCCATGTCGGGAATTGAACCCGGGTCTTCGGCGTGATGAGCGAACGCTTTAACCACTAGGCTACCCGACCGCCAAGCCGATGACATCGGACAAGAAGGCCATGAGATAAGCTCATTCGACAAGCTTTTCATGTCTCGCACTACTAATCCATTGTTACAAACCTGGTTCATGCAGACCGTTTTTGTACTTTGCAAAATCTTCAGTGAGAGTTTGGATCAAGCCCTCAGACTTTTCCAGAGCTGTAACAGAAAACAACAAACACATGATGCTGACTCATGAAGCAGCAGAAGATTGGTTGGTTGGTTGGGCTGTTGTTTAACGCCGCACTCAGCAATATTCCAGCTATATGGCGGCGGTCTGTAAATAATCGAGTCTGGACCAGACAATCCAGTGATTGATATCCTGAGCATCGATCCACGCAATTGGGATCGTAGACATGCATCAACCAAGTCAGCGAGCCTGACCATCCGATCCCGTTAGTCGCCTTTTACGACAAGCATAGTCGCCTTTTACGGCAAGCATAGTTTGGTGAAGACCTATTCTACCCCCGAATATTCACGGGTAAGCAGCAGAAGAATTCGATCATCGCCATTATCTTCATAATGGCTTCTGCGTGTACAACACTTACTTTCCAAATAGATGGGTTCATCCTGTGTCTGCCACAGAGGCATAATCTGCTTCTCAGTGTCTTCAACAATGTCCTCCAGAATTTCCTTCGCTCCACTCATAAAACCTTTCTGTAATTTGAAAACAATTAACTGTACATCTTGAGAGCATTCCTATCCACGTTCACCATTTAAAGGTTTGGCACGTAAACGAAAACGACTTGACACTTTACCAGTCATACAAGTGAATATCCGGGTTGGAATAGCAATCCATGCTTGTCGTTAGAGGCAACTATGCTTGTCGTTAGAGGCAACTATGCTTGTCGTCAGAGGCAACTATGCTTGTCGTCAGAGGCAACTATGCTTGTCGTCAGAGGCGACTATCGGGTTCCGGGTCAGGCTCAGTTGATGCATGTCATCGTATCCCAATTGCGTAGGTCGATGCTCAAGATGTCAATCACTGGTCCAGACCCGATAATTTACCGATCGACGTCATATAGCTAGGCCATTGCTGAGTGCGTCGTTAAACAAACACACAGTTTGGATGCAAGTGACACTTTAGGTTACTGTTGACTGCTGTTTGTCACAGATGTATTTAGCTACGACGTCGTATGTAGTTAATGTTTGCAACGGGATCGGGTGGTCAGGTTCTCTGACTTGGTTGATGCATGTCATCGATCTCAATTGCGTGGATCGATGCTCATGATATTAATCACTGGATTGTCTGGTCCAGACTCGATTATTTACAGACCGCCGTCGTATAGCTTGAACATAGCTGAGTGCGGCGTTTAACAACAAAACAACCATCCAACCAATCACGGGCCGTGAAGATCCGGGGTTGAATAGTTCTTCAGCAACCCATGTTTGCCGTAAAAGGCGACTACGCTTGTCGTAAAAGGCGACTAACGGGATCGTGTGGTCAGACTCGATTATTTACAGACCGCCGTCATATAGCTGGAATATTGCTGAGTGCGGCGTTAAACAACGAACCAAACCAAACCAAACCAAAATGTGTGTCACATGCAAAACGAGTTAATATGTCACCTTCAGTTGACCCAGAGACACTGTGATCTTTTCCTTGAGCTGCTGAAACATGTTACTCTTCAACTGGTCAATGGTGCTTGCCATGATGTCTTTGATTCTGTTGATAGCCCCGGGACCTTCTTGCTCCATACATGGCTTGTATGCGCTCTGCATTTGTTCCTTTGACAGAAATAGATTTAATCATAGATTATGTATATTGACATACAATATAATATATGTAATTGATTAGATACGTTGAGACATTTAAGGACACCCCATTTACATAAAAAAACAGAGGGTCCTGACGTTAAGCTTTAGTATATTTTACACTATTTGTTTATATTTGAGTGTGTGTTTGTCGTGTTACTCAGCAATATTGATGGCGACCTGAAAATAATCAAGTCTGGACCAGACAATCCAGTGATTGATATGAGGAAAAGTACCCACGTCATCGGAGTACGATGACATCCAATCAGCCAAGCCACTGAGCCTGACAACACTATCGATTCGGTCGCCTTTTTTTGATTGCAGGTAACTTAGTCTAATCTGATATCCCCATGGTAACTTATATTTCTCCGTTCATAGAAAAACGTATTTGCTAAATGGTAACCGCGAAGGTTATCTTACCTGTACGAAGTCTGTAATCATGTGCGTTACTGCTCTTTGTTGCCTGTCTATTGTTTTCTCCCAGAGTGAATCCAGTCTTGTTAACTGTGAACAGATGAGAAAATATTTATGAAGACATTTGGCAAATTAATGAAACAAGGTCATGATAAAGACTGTTAAGAAACATACATGTTGCTATTTCATTAAATCGACCTAAAGAGTCGGGAAGATCTGGGTAGAGAATAGGTCTTCAGCAACCCATTCTTGCCGTAAGAGGTGACTGTGCTTGCCGTAATTGGCGACTAACGGGCTCGGGTAGTCAGGCTCACTGACTTGTTTGATGCATGTCATCGTATTCCAATTGCGTGCATCGATAATCATGATATCAATTACTGGATTGTCTGTTCCAGAATCGAACATTTACACACCGCCGTCATATAGCTGGTATATTGCTGAGTGCGGCGTTATACAACAACCAAGCTACAAATCATCCAATTAAAGAAATATATATTATAATACTTATATATCCTACTTTTCTAAATGTATCTGTCTTCAACTGAGTCAGATCCTTTAGAAGTGTTGCGTCACTGTCACCAAGGGATTTCATGATGGCTTCTGTGAAGCGAGTTAAGGCGATGGAGGCAGGTTCTTTTATTTTGCTTTTCACAGTTTCAATCCATGCCTGTTCACTGAAACAACATGTGTTTATGAATTGAGGATGATAGTTTCTTTTAGTGTAAGATTTAATAACCGATCGAATCATCCGTCTACGGCACATGCTGTCCACATTTACCTGAAACGAGGCGTCCATTCCTTCGAGAGAATCTCTACAAACGGATCTGCAAGGACTTGATTCATATTAATGATGTATCCAATCCCAGTTGCTCTAAAGATTCCCAATCGGCGCACAGTTGCCTTGTAGGTGTTGCTATGCAACCCTCCATGTCCTCTCTGTCTCTTGTTTACCTTATTAAGGCATGTCACAATATTAAAGTTATGTCAAAGGTTTGAAACAAATATAACATGCTTTCATTGTATTTTAACTTATTCGTAAAGCAGCCACCTTCTACTAATACCATACCTGCTTAATGTTGCCTTTAAACTTTAGGTTTTGGTTTGGTTTGTTGTTGAACGCCGCACTCAGCAATATTCCAGCTATATGACGGCGGTCTGTGAATAATCGAGTCTGGACCAGACAATCCAGTGATTAATATCACGAGCATCGATCCACGCAATTGCATCAACATGCATCAACCAAGTCAGCCAGCCTGACCACCCGATCTCGTTTGTCTCCTTTTACGACAAGCATAGTCACCTTTTACGGCAAGCATGGGTTGCTGAAGACCTATTCTACCCGGAATCTTCACGGGTTTTAAACTTTAGGATGAAATACAGTAACTGCATAAAGCAAATACAATACAGTGTTCTTCTGTGCAACTACATTCATGATATGACTTACATTTCGAAAACTCTCACATATCAACATTTATTACTTTAACCATGTAAGATGTGTCTTCTTAAGATCAAATAAATATGACCAATGTGAAAACGTTTGCTTCATACATTTCCCTTTCATCACGACATGTATTGTGAATGAATATTTCATTTAGGTGTATTTTGTTTGATGTCGATAGCTCAAATGCCAGAATGGTAAGCAGACCTACCGGTCTTGCCCAACATTCAACTGCGGGTTTTGCCCGTCTTATCGCTTCCTGTGTTGCTTCATCAAGAGTTACACCAAGGACGGCAAACCATGACGACTGCAGGTGGGAGTATAACTCATTTAGTATTAATTGTCCTTCATCTCGTAATGTGTCAAGATGACGTTTCAGCTCTTCCTTCAGGGCCTGAATTAAGAGATAAGAAATATGTTTTTGTACTTATATTTATTTACCTTGTCTGCTCGACGTCCGTTTGACAACTATTGTTTCCAAAACCTATTGCTAACATACTTGCATCATCTTTGGCACAAAGGAATAGTGGTGGACCTGAATCTAGTTCAATTTGATTGGTTTGTTGATTTACACCGCACTCAGAAATATTCCATCTATATGACGGCGGTCTGTCAATAATCGGGTCTTGACCAGACAATCCAGAGATTGACATCATGAGCATCGATCCACGCCATTGGGGTCGATGACATGCATTAACCAAGTACGCAAGCCTGACCACCCTGATGACGTTAGTCGTCTTCAACGACAAGCATAGTCGCCTTCTACGGCTAGCGTGGGTTGCTGAAGATCTATTCTACCCCGGATCTTCACGGGTCGAATCTAGTTCAAGAGCCAGCTAAATCCATCGCTCACATTTAAGTCATTTTTTGCTATATTTCTACATATATGTCACCTTCGTGTGGATGTAAATGTTGAAACTGACGTTTCACTACTTTAGTGAAAACCAGGAGGATGGATACGGTGCTGACAAACCAAGATATCTGGAACTCGAACTCGAGATATGTGGGGCCTGGCACATCTAAGGAATCGAACTGCAGCGCCATAGACGGCAAGGGGCGTCTTTGCCCTTCACACACATGACAAAATTGTGTCTCCATTTACTTGTTGTTTAGAACAAAGTTTTGGCTGTTTCTGTTGCGTGCTTCTGAATTTCGGCGACATTTTTCGACCATAACTGCTGCCATGTAATATTTTTAATCACTTATAAGTAGTAGAATTATAGTATCACAGAATTGTATAACTAACCTTCCTTCCTCTTTTTGAATTGATCAGATACATCATTATGCCATCTATGATTGCCTGGAAATCATTTTGCAGAGACATCCTGTGTTTTTTCTGCTTTTCCCAAACTAGCTCCTGCAGATAGGTTCTTAAACCAGGGATTTCGGTATCTTCTGTTGACAGAAACACCTGCAATAGTAGGGAAGTATAAAGCTTTTTAACGAAACGCCTGTAATACAGAATTTAATCTCTATTGTCATGATGGTGTGAGTAAATGAGTTGGGCTTAATGTCACATTGTTTGACGCTCGAACAAAAGAATTCAGCATCTACGAATGAAAGAGAGGATTTGGGGGCAGGGGGAACACCACTAATGGACTTAAAGCATTTTACCCATGTCGGGAATCGAACACTGTCCATCTTGTTTACTTACTGGTGAGTAAGGATAAGATACATAGATAAAGAACTTCTATATTACAATTAGGTGTGACGTTTTGGCGTAGGTCGATCCTAATTGTACTGACGAAGTTGTTCATACTTAAATCTTATCCTGACTTAGTACTTCAACTTCTAATTGCCTCTAAAAGACGTTACTCACTGGGGGCTTGTCGTCATCGTCGTCGTCACAAGTGAGAAGGTTGCTTAGATTGATATAGTCACTGGAACTGACACAAAACACCTTCAGGTCATGAGGGTAGTCTTGATCATGAGGAGTAGACTGGAATTAAATAGAATGAGTGGGTAAGGTTTTATGCGACTTTGAACAGAATTACAGTTGTGAAGCTGTCTACGTTTGGGCACAATGGAAAGCTCAGCTGTCTTGTCATTAGTTTTCGTATACACGTGAACTAAAAGAGCATAAGTCCCTATGTAAGAGGATGGTAGAACTATGCCTGGAATCTCTGCATATAAGAATATATGTCTTCTTCTAATAGTTTATTTCTAATCAGCTCTTTTCGAGATAAACACAGTAGACAAGTCATTTTATACGTTGACCTAGGACAGGATTTTCTTTAGATTATGTAATTAATGGTAATTAATGGTACTTTAGTGTCACAATTGATATTTTATTAATAATATTAATTCTCACCGGGCTTGATATTTTAGGCAGAATATTATTCCTGACAAACTCGTTCCTTTTAACAGCACACGTTGATTTTTTCTCTCTCTTTAACTGGTCTATTGCCGCATGAAGACGTTGTTGCTGGAATGTTGTAATATCATCAACTTCTGTATGTATGAAATATTTCAACATAGCAATTCAAGTATCGTTTTTTCCCCTGGATTACATGAGATTACTTTCAACAAGAACGCAATTATATAATCATTGTCAGGTTTATGAGATGAAAACTAATAATGAATTTTACACAAACTGGAATGCAAAAGATTATGAAGAAACACAACCAGGGATTGGGATCCTTGCAGTTTTGACTTGTAACGTTTGTTCCCTTGCTTTTTTAGGTGAATAATTGACTTGCCTATGCATGTGTTGCCTGCACCGCTGGTGCAGGATACGCTCACCTTTTCGCGAACACCTGGTGTCATCAGTAAAGCGATTCATAAACACATGCTTATGATATAGTTTATGGATGCTTTGTCATTTAAATTTGAGAGTATATTTTTTTATACAAATAAATTCAAAAAGACAAACCTGCTGGATAAGATAGTTTTCTCCAGTTTCACTACTGCATCCCACCTGAAATTAACTCATTGTAGTTTAAAATATACATGAGCTTTACGAGATATATCGTATTATAGCTAAAATTGATAGAATTATGATTAAAACGCCCGCATGTTATCAGAAATGAGCGGGCCACTGTAACTTGATAATGCCCTCATATTACTTGACGACGGGACATTATCACGCCCGTTGTTAGGTGACGTCAAAAGATAGAGAAAGGTGACGTAGCGTTCAATAGTGACGTCATCTGGTTTGTTCTATGACGTTTCCATATTTGTAAAAGTGGGTCAGTGACATTCGTGTTGATTGCAGTAAATGTTTCAAAATCGACATTGTTGTTTCTTTTTATTTGATAACAAATTCCATCCATTTTAGCTATCATCGGGCAGTTAATGGAAGACCTTCTGCAAATGATAATGCCCTGAAAAATAGCGTTACCCTTATATTATATCATGTTTTGTTTGTTTGTTTAACGCCACACTCAGCAATATTCCAGCTATATGACGGCGGTCTGTAAATAATCGAGTCTGGACCAGACAATCTAGAGATTAATATCATGAGCATCGATCCACGCAATTGGGATCGATAACATGCATCAACCAAGTCAGCAAGGCTGACCACCCGATCCCGTTAGTTGTCTTTTACGACAAGCATAGTCACCTTTTACGACAAGCATGGGTTGCTGAAGACCTATTCTACCCTGGATCTTCACGGGTCCTATATCATGTATTAACACGATGTACCAATGTGGGAAATCGAACCCATTTCTTAGGCCTGACGGGCGTGCGAATAATCTTGTGACATCGGACCAGGGTTTCACCAAGTGTTAAAAATAGTAACCCTTATATAGCAATGTTTGCACATTGAATAAGTGAGAATTCAAGTACAAAATAGCTGAGTGCTTGCGTGCGTGCTTGCTTCCGTGCTTCGAAGACTTACTCACATTCAAATATTGGAAGAGAGAAATCTTTTCAATATATCTAGGACACAAAACGGCGGAACCTTGACTGAGTATTGAACAATTCAGTAACATCAACTGAGCTTGAGATTTGGTGCCATTTTGTCATGTTCTGTGACGACTGCCTACTGCACAAACTAAACTTCCTTGGACTTCAACTATGGACATAATGACGACAAAGAACGCTTGCGTGTTGGACGTTATATGTTCTTATATATATTGCGTGGGAATACTTTAAGGTTATTGCGTGGGAAAGTTGTGTCAAACTGGTTGGTGGTAGTTAATGCGTTTTGAGGGAATTCTAGAAATGGCGGTGATTAAGTACATATACCTGTGAAGACTTTTATAGTTTTTACCTGTTTGTCCCTCTTTAAATCTGCTAACTTATGTTGCAAGACTTGTTCCTCCTTCTTGTATCGCTGACCTTCGGCTGTCCACTTTGCTGCCTGTGGTAACTTCAGTGTTCTGCAAAAGAATATCTCCAGTATGACACGAAGTCTACAAAGTAAGTAAATCACTGAATGAGTGAGTTTTGATTTAACGCTGCTTTGAACGTTATGTCAGTAATATCATTTATGGGTCATTTATGGGTAAGCACAAACTGATGAGGGTCTTTGCTATTCTGCAATAATCACCCATCGGTCATCGGATCGTGGTCTGTCTAAGTTCTAACAAGAATAACGTTGTACCTCAAAAGGGATGCAACATCCAAACATTTATAAAAAGTATTTAATATATTTTAAACTACAGTCTATTTTCTGGATGACATTAGAAAAATCAGTATGTTTTATCCCTACATAATATACAAGAGATACCAAATCATAAGACTAATTTAAAAATGATGTTCTACTTACCTGATGACCTCTGACGGTTTGACATCATCTGCTTGTGTACAGGCTACAACTGTCTTAGTGTGGTCCATCAACAGCTGACGAAATAGTTTGTCCCCTAAAGTATGCTTGACTGTTTTGCTGTCAACAGCTCTCTGAATTTTCGTAACGACCAGCAGCACATCACAGGATTGCATGTACTGCAAGAAGGCAATGTCATAATATGTATAAAATATACAATATACACATTTGTCTGAAGAAGTGGTAGTCACATTACACACACATCTGCGTTCCCTACCTTTCTGGCAACATTTTCTCTTGCTGGGTTTGAATCTCCGACTCCAGGGAGGTCAACCAAGTTAACGCCGCTCCGACACAGGCCTGAATCTGGTACTTTCAGAACCACTTGTTTCACTAATGGCCAGAACTGACGTTCATCATGATCAGTTGTCTCACTGAATGTCCTGATCTTGTCCTGTAGGTCTCTTGCCTAAACATATCATACAAGTACTGTAAGTATTCGAGTGTTTTGTGTGCATATATATCACGAATTTATCCTTATGAACTCAGAAAACTGCCCAAACACAACTTTAGCAATGCTGGAAATTGTTGATCCAGATTGAAGATTACAATGCGTTGGTAAACACGTCGCTCAAGTTCGTCTCATAGATGTCCAGTGGGGTTGCAATTAGGTCTTGATAAGTCATATAGCTAATCACTATCAGTGAAACAACAAGTTATTGTTCAACTAAGTACTGCTTCTAGCGCTTTGGCCATTCGAGAAATAATCTCGATTCGTAACATAACATGATTTGCACATTCACTAAATTTCGGTGGGATTAATTCTTTGTATGCTCTGAATGATCATTTCAATTAATCCTATAACGTTTTGTCTGACGGCCTGTAACATGCAATGGGATCTCCTGTTCGCCTGTGCAAAATTAGATAACCTTAGACCACTTATTGAGTTTTTTCAAATATTTAGCAACCTGTCGTACCTCTCCTCGACCTTGTCATGCCTACTTTCTGCCCTTTTTCGACTACTGTAATATTAAAACAAAACAACATATGTTCCTCATTCCCCTTCATAAGACAGATATGCATATGAAAGCGACATGTGAAAACGATATGAACTGTTCCGCGTGTGCTCCCGTTGTTGTCATAAATTGCCCTTTTTCTATACTCATTTTCAGGACCTAAAAGTATACTCACATTTGAGTCACCCATTTCCATCACAGTACCAAGCTGTTCAAGAATGTCTCTATTACGTTCTAGGTGGATACCAAGGTCCTTAGATTCAAAGGCACCATACACTGCAGCAACCTTTGCATGAGCTGCATCGCACACACCAGCATCCTCCTCGTTGTCACTATCGCTCTGATCCATGTCATGCTTTAAAACATTGAGCTCTTTCCTCCATTCCTAAATCAACCAAGAATTAAATCAATTGTTGATTAAAATACTGATGAAACTTGGTTGTTTGTATATTATGTTGTAGCTGACATTTAGTTTAATTGTACATTAATAAATTCCTTCCTAATCCAATTGTTTTAAAAACTGCATTTAATTTGACACAATGTTCAGGAATCACTATGCCATAAAGAAAAGCTCAAATCAAATCCGATAATATATCCCGCACCTGCGGACAACCCACAATTAACGACAGGCCAAGTACACTACGTAATCGCACTAAATATCCACATCTATTGACAACATCTAAAACAAACGCTTTACACGAATAAAGTCAAAAGAATCATTATACAGTAAAGTACGGTGATAACGAACTCAAAGGGACTACTAATTTTAGTTCGTTATAACCGTAGTTCGTTATAAGCATATATACAGCATAACTACAGCAAATAGTCAGGACCAAAAAGGTAAGTTCGTTATATCCGTCAGTTCGTTATAAGTGTGTTCGTTATAACCGTAGTTTACTGTACTCCCATGTGTGTCATACTGCTTTCAGAAACGAGTATAGATTTCTTGCATTTCCAGAGCAAGAGCGAGGGTAGTAGACGAATTACATATTATTTCTTAATCCTTATGAGCTCCCCTTTTGAAAGAATGCACTGATCTCAACAACCGATTTAGAAAACCACAATGAATGATTGTCGAATGACGTCAACAGTCCTCAGCTATGTTGCCGTTTCTAACGTGGTGTCATTCCATACTATAAGGGTAACGCTATTTTTCAGGGCATTATCATTTGCAGAAGGCCGAGGTCTTCCATTAACTGCCCGACGAAGGAGTGCAGTTGAAAAGACCCTCGGGCTTCTGCAAATGATAATGCCCCGAAAAATAGCGTTACCCTTATATTATAGCTAAAATGGATGGAATTTGTTATCAAATAAAAAGAAACAACAATATCGATTTTGAACCATTTACTGCAATCAACACGAATGTCACTGACCCACTTTTACAAATATGGAAACGCCATAGAACAAACCAGATGACGTCACTATTGAACGTTACGTCACCTATACCTATTCTATGACGTCACCTAACAACGGGCGTGATAATTGCCCGTCGTCAAGTATTATGAGGGCATTATCAAGTTACAGTGGCCCGCTCATTTCTGATAATATGCGAGCGTTTTTATGATAATTCTATCCATTTTAGCTATAATTCACAATAACATTCGAGTGACGACAACAATGTCGTACGGATGATGTAAACAATATACTGGTGTGCTTGATATTTGCCCTAAGGAACATACATGTATGATATATATGAACTCTGTTATTTCTAACCTGTTGGTTAGAAGTGAAGTTATTCCACATGCCACATACTTACTGCATATCAAAATTCAAAATGACACATGCACGAATTGCCGGATAATGAATGAAAAGGATAACTTTCATCGCCATTCTTTGTCCATTATCGTCGACAGACGGACAGATGAGGTTCATTTTTGTAAGGTGAGCTACACGGTTAAGTGTCTGATACCTCTGCAGTGAGAAACTCAATGTCCGCTTCAAAATCAGAGCTTGTTTTGTTTTCTTCTATTTTTATGACCACCGATGTACATGCTCTTCCCATTCCAGCCGTAGGCAACAAGGACGGCTGATCCAACAGGGCGTTCAACAGGGAGGACTTGCCTGCCCCAGTGTCTCCATATACAGCTACTGTAATTTCTGGAGGATCACCATGTTGCCTTATCTTCTCAAGGTCTTTTCTGAACAAATGTTTACAGAGAAAAATAAAACAGTGAGGAGAAAAATGTAATATTACAATGCATGTAAGGTAATAAGCCATTTTCCAATTTCGCGAAATAAGTCCGTTTATAGTGACATCACTTTACAAAACAACGTGACGGCGGGCAATCCGTCAATACAAACCGCTGTCAAACTTCTGACGTGCATGACAGTTTGTCGACCGCTATTCGAATGTTTACGGAAAGAGGAGACGAAGATGCCTCGACACTACGGTTGCTATGGCTTGTGTAAGTCAGATAACAGGTAGACCGCCTCCGTGGTCTAGTGGTAGAGCGTCCGTCCGGCGAGCGGAAGGTCCGGGTTTCGATCCGCGGACGCGTCATACCAAAAGACGTTAAAAGATGGTACTTGTTGTTACCTTGTCTGGCGCTCGGCATTAAGGGGCTAAAACAAGGACTGGTCGGCTCGGTGCAGTATTCTGCGTCTGAGTGGGGTATTCATGTTTAACTGCGGCATGGTATCTCAGTGGGCAAGCACTATAAATCGTCATCAGTCCGGACTAGTACCCGCAGCCACACACACACGCGCATGCGTCGCTATATAAGTGCAATATTATTTGACGTGAATTAAACCCCATTTCACCTCACCAGATAACAGGTACAAAGATCGCCAAGAGATGTAAAATGTCAACGTGATATATATTTGAGGTGAAGGCCTGTGGTTTTGATTTATTTTATTGCGAAAACTCAAATTGATTAGGCACTTGTGACACACTTACGAGGACTTCTACGTAAATTTCATTACATAGTTATATGTGAATAATGATTGAGCAGAATAAATGTTCAGTGCACAGAAATTACACAAGTTATGATAATAACACACACACACACATATATACGGCATTATACACAAACACACATACCTACATACACGTACGCATATATATATATACAAGCGTGAACATACATACATGAGATACATATATATTTTTTTAATACAATGTCACATTTGTTAAAATATTTAATTTATTTATATAGTACGAGAGTAGTTGAAAATGATGGACATTTTAAATTTAAGTAATATATAGAATTTATGCTTATTTCTCTACGTGTTTTACTGTCAAACCATGGTATATCTTTTGGCCTTATTGTAACATCACGGTTTGGTATGCATACGCCTATAAAGTTTTTAAATGTGGACAGACAAATACAACATATTAAATCAATAGGCTCGCAGCTATTAAACAAGCGCATCAAATCATTTGATTCAATCAATTCAGGTAATATAACACAATCACCATTTTTATGAATCGTGTTTTTAGATCAATGCAGTTTGCGCAACACAACAACCCCATGTTGTCACTGAAACCGTGCTGAAGTCGACAACACTCGACTCAAGATAATTACAATCGTCACTGATATCAAACAATAGGTTCAAGCAGAGTTTGTGAATGCTGCGTGACGCGTATCGGCTCTCCGATTGCATAACGTAAACTGTTCCTCACTAAAATATCGTGCAAATAATGAAGGTTGCTGTTAAGTAAACCTTCGTTAAAACCACATTTACAAAATAGTTACAAATGAGTGCTCTAGTCGCTCCCAATACAACACAGGGGTGTTAGGTGGTCTGTACCACGCACATACTTATACTCTCTGCTGGGGCAAAAAAGCCTCGAAACACATATTTTCGAAATTGTATGATTCAAATCTCCATACGTTAAAAGTCTTACAGTGCCGAGAAATATACAAAGATACCACCACTAAAACAATTCCTGTCCCTCCTATAAGGAGAATGCTAAAGGTCTATTTTCAGATCATTTGTGTTTACAGAATCATCCAGATGTGTCTCTGTAAAACATATCAAGTCATATTGAGAGATTTGATGAGAAATACGAAGTAATGTATATCGTAGACGTCTTACATTTAAGTGTCTCCTTATTGTGCGAACTTACTGAAACAGGACCAGGGTGTTGCTCAACATCTCCAACAAATATGAGAAGTAAGATGAGGTTTGGTATAATAACTTCTTTGATAGGCATTTAGAAGTTAGAGTACTAAGTAAGGATACGATTTATGGATGAACAACTTCTTTATTACAATTAAGAGTACACACGCATGTATAAATATGAGTAATAAAGAAGTTGTTCATCCATAAATCGTATCCTTACTCAGATTGGTGTAATGCTGGAGTTAGTGAAAGAGTGTGCCCAACAGAGATATATTTGAACAAGACTACAGTTGATAAATATGTTCACAACATCGATGAATAACCAACTAAAGTAGGCAGTAGATTATTGATCGATGATGTGGAATTTTCCCTTTCTTAGTTCAGTTGAATAACATTTCTTGTTATGCAAACATATCGATGCTCTGTTCGCACTAAAATCGGTCATTTGCAAAAATAGGAAATAGCATTATCCAGGCAAGGGCATCGACAGGTTTGCTATAGATTGCTTTATGTAAATTTAAGTTATTTTGTCTTTTCAATGTATGAATCATATACCAGATACAGTATCTCAAAGTTTTATAATTAAAACTTGTAGAAGTAGAACACCACTGTACCACTAAATACATTAGTAAATGAAAGGTATTTACATGCAATGAATTACTTGTGTGTGTATATAGTACATGAGTGAGTGTGATGAAATATATAGTAGCAGACAATCTAAATGAAATGAAGTGCTGTGGTACACATGTGCATGTAGTCTGCATTATGACTAAATGTGTCAATAAACGCAATGATTTACGAGAGTCCAATGTATGGGCACTGGGTGTTTGTGTTGTAGTCAACACATATAACTGTGATGGAATAATGACACTAGTGATACAAACGAATGATACAGGTTTTTTATCGATCTCAAGCTCATTAAAATCAGTCTTTAGTACTCGCTACCGCTAAACAAAGATCTGAAGACATCCCATTAGGGGTCACGTCAGAACGACCTTTCATCCGACCAATCAGATCGTCGCTTACCAGATTATAAAAGTGACAGTCGGAATGTGATTGCAAATCATGCAACCTCGAAAACTTTAACACGGGGTATTCCGAGCGATAGTTCAACGACTGAATCCATACAATCTATACCATCTATTAGCCATACCAGAAGGTTCTTTTGTTCAGGTTTTAAATTTGTAATTGAGAATTTATCAAAATATGTTTCGAAGCGTAGTCGCAAGTTTGCCATTAGTGCCGTAAAGTACGAGAAAGCTGCCTACTGATTGGTCATTCCATTGGTCGGTCGCAGTTCGCGCAAGGTCGTTCTGACATGACCCGTAATGGGATGTCCTCAAATCTTTGTTTAGCAGTAGCGAGAACTAAGATCTGATTTTAATTAGATTGTATCGATCTCGATCTCATATCCAGTTATACATATTATTGCAACTTTTGGATCTCACAAGTAACAATTCATTGTATATGGATGTGAGATCTTTGTTTTGTTCTTGATTTGAGTTTTAACTTTTTTTACAGTTGTTCGATATCAGTTGTGTTTTTACTCCTCAATCGCTTTCCACCTTTTTCATTGCAAGCAAATATTCTACCATAAGGGGTCCAAAATGAATACAATAAAGTGTCCATGTTTAGATTTGGAAGTAGTTTCACCAAGTCATGGCGATATTTTCTGAGGTCCCCATTACAAATCAAATATTCTTAAGTGACCCTTTAGTTTCTTTTTTGCCGTGTAGACCTGGTTTTTGGTATTGTGAGCAACAAACTTAACAAAGACCTGTGTTTGCCCATTTACGATCTTGCCGATAACATGCGAGCAATCAATATCTACATCAGCGAACAAGCAATAGTCTCGAGAGAGACCCAGACATGTAGACGCGAAGCTTCCTTCTGTGAAAATCGAGGCTTAACTGTGTGACACATTATTCCAATGTCCTTGTAAAAGGTAAGGGTCACAGTTAATGTTAATGTCTGAGAGTGTTTGACACGTGTACCTTACATTAGAAACATCCGATAAATCAGGGTTGACAGGCAAATCCATGCTGGCAACACACTCGCACATAGTGACAAATTCGTGACGAGTGTCCCCTGTAAAAGTCACGCAACGATCCTCTAAATACACCTTCAACTGTGGTACGGTCTTAGATGAGAACATAGATGAAATTTTCTTGAAATCACAAACGTAGAACATGAATAAACAATATCGTCTGTCGACAAACGATGTCAGATCGGTAATCTGACAGCTCTTTTCATACGTTGTCAAGCCCGCGTTCACGTGTCATAAGGGGCAGATAACTCTAAGCCTGAAAACTGGAAAATGGCTTAATCAGAACAGTCCAGTGATGTGTGGATTTACCATTTGACTTATCTTTATCAGCAACTCTAAAAGATCACGTAATGTAACAATCATTACTAACAACCACTCATCACTTATTCAATGAAAACAATGAGATAAAGCCATACCGTAACGTTAATCCCGTCGGCCATTTTGACGTCGTATATGTTTATACAATCACATCGCTTGTACTTAATGCTATAGATTTATACTCACCCATACTAAAAACACAAATGAGTATAATTCAATGAAGGTTTCTTGTTGTGACACACTGACTCTGTCTGAAAACAAGGTATTATTGAGGACTGAGCAATACCTTGCCTTCTGTACAATTGTACAGTCTCCTTCTCTGTTTTCCTCAGATGTTGCGTTTCCAAGTAAATGCAAGATCTCCTCACATCTAAACAGAAACTGTATTTACACTGTACATTGACACCAATGTGCTCCTGGAAATGAAGATTAATGATGTTCACATTTGGCTCAAGTGAGTATCAATGTGACATATTATGCAGTTAGGTGTGGACATGAGAGGTGAGATACTAACAGATTATATATAGCTTATACTTTGTTACTATTCGACATTTGCTAACATTTATGAGAGCTGAAAGTAGGACGATAATTTAATGTGTACGATTTACAGACGTAATATTTGTTGGACGCGAGACTTACCGGGAGATGTGAGCACTCGACACAGGGGTGTTCATAATGCCAGGTCAGTCCAAGAGTTTACAAATCTGAAAGAAGCACTTACACGTCAAGAATACCTGTACGTACCAGGTCATGAGTGAAGTTTTCTTGTGTTAATACTGACGATGAAAGTTTAAACTTTGCTTACTTTGAGAAAGATATACCTGATAAAACTATTTATACCCTCATGTGTTTCCGTATCGTAAATATTGTATATGCAGTGTATATGCAGTATGATCCCAATAGGCCACATGTGTATTTTCTTTATATTCATAAAATATATACGATGCAAACCCACGTTCAACTAATATTCTGCGGGATAGTTAAGCTTTAGCATTTATACATCTACACACATGCATGTTGTATGAATGTTATTGCATACATAGACAGAATTACGCTCATTCTTGTTATATAGCATACAAAGTCACGAGCTTCGTAAAATTGGTATCTAACGAGAACGAGTGTTGAACTCTGTTTATTACCCGCGTTAAATATGTGAGTGAGTGAGTGAGTGTGTGAGTTGGGTTTAACGCCGCTTTTAACATTATTCCAGTTATATCACGGCGTGTCAGCTTAATGTGGGAGGAAAGCCTGAAGTGATGCAGGTCTCAGACGTTTACCACTTCGGTGAAATCCACGAGCATGGGTATGGTGCTGACAAACCTAGAAACATAATCGGGACGAACCGGGATTCGAACCCACAATCATAGGTTTCTGGCGTGCCCAAGGGACGCAACTCTGCACAGCGAATCGCGGCGCCTTAGACGACTGGGTCACCCGAGCCCCCACGTTAAATATATTCTCAAGTGTATACATATAGTGTAATATATAGTAGTAATTAAATAAGTGGAGTAAGATTGAACACAGGGATGAAGGACAGGAAGGAGTGTCTGGGTGTGATGAAGGGCAGGAAGGAGAGTCTGACTGTGATGAAGGGCAGGAAGGAGAGTCTGACTGTGATGAAGGACAGGAAGGAGAGTCTGACTGTGATGAAGGACAGGGAGGAGAGTCTGACTGTGATGAAGGACAGGAAGGAGAGTCTGACTGTGATGAAGGACAGGAAGGAGAGTCTGCCTGTGATGAAGGACAGGAAGGAGAGCCTGACTGTGATGAAGGACAGGAAGGAGAGTCTGACTATGATGAAGGACAGGAAGGAGAGCATAACTGTGATGAAGGACAGGAGGGAGAGTCTGACTGTGATGAAGGACAGGAAGGAGAGTCTGACTGTGATGAAGGACAGTGAGGAGAGTCTGACTGTGATGAAGGACAGGAAGGAGAGTCTGACTGTAATGAAGGACAGGAAGGAGAGTCTGACTGTGATGAAAGACAGGGAGGAGAGTCTGACTGTGATGAAGGATAGGAAGGAGAGTGTGACTGTGATGAAGGACAGAGAAGCGTCTGTTTAGTTTCGTTATTCAGATATATTTCGGTTTGCCACTATATAACTAATATATAAATCAATTGTACTCCTTTCATCTGAACTAAATTTAACTTCAATAAGCCAGTCTTAGTTTTTGATACTCTCAATATCTCTGCTTGTTTCAAACTTCGAATGATTTTTTTTTCTTTTTGCTTTCAAGTAATTGGTCTAATTCCATTATTCTATTTGACAGGGACGCTAGCGATGACATCTTGGATCAATGGTATCAAAGCGTCACAACTAACGTCACAAATGTTCAATGACGTTATCAACGACATTACGCGGCTAGACTTGGGTTATCTTGTCTGGAGGTAGTGGCAAGATATGGGTTATCTGGCTGTGGACTCCTGATATGGACAGGATTTCGCTATTGGCGGGGTGTTAAAAAAATACCTATCAGGACAGATACATAGACTAATTGTGTTAACTGATAAAAGCTTAATAGACAATGTCTGAAATGGTTGTATATGAACAACCAAGTACAATATATGATTTAACCTACCAACTTGGATACATCAGTTTACAATGTACAGCATGGTTATATACCACCACGTACATGCCAAGTACATTTTATTGTCACTGGTTACAATCTCGGGATCAGAAAATCTGGTGACTGACATAAGCATTGATGTACGCGATTTGGATACGATGACATGCATCAACCAAGTTGACAGATGCATACTTTCAGATTTTGGCCTGATTTAATTGGAGAATGTTGACGTGGCTCGCGTGATAGTCCCTCAAAACTCCTAAATTGGGACCTAGAAAAAGAAAATAGTTTTCGAGGAAATTCGCGAATTATAGACAATCGTTAATTAATCGCGGAGTACTCGCAAATTGTTCTGCAGAACACGATATCAAACTGATGCGTTGTGATGTACGTCTAACTACACATGCATTGTATATGTATAACTTAAACGTTGATTCATCTTCTCCTGTTTGTGCAAGAAAAGGATATCCAACTTATGAATGGTGGTCTAGTACTACGTATGTGCGTAAATCATGTCAAATCTGTGCTGTAACAATATTTACACGTTTTGGAGTGAGGGAGTGAGTTGGGTTTAACGCCGCTTTTAACAGTATTCGAGTTATATCACGGCGTGTTCACTTTAATGTTGGAGGAAAGCTCGAAGTGATGCAGGTCTCAGACGTTTACCACTTCGGTGAAACCCACGAGTACGGGTATGGTGCTGACAAACCTAGAAACATAATCGGGGTGAACCCAAAATCATAGGTTTCTGGCGTACCCAAGGAACGCAACTGAGCACAGCGAATGGAGGCGCCTTTAGACGGCTGGGCTACCCGTGCCCCCTTAACGTTTCGGAAGACATTCATTCACAACATGGTATTTTTCAGGTAACTTAACAAATAATGAAGAAAAGTTATATATCAGGGTTTGTAAGCGACAATCGTATATCCCATAGTTATTACATAATCCACCTGTTATAGAATTTAGGACGGTTGATGCTTACCTGTCGGAGAAGAATTCAACTCACACAACTGTAAGCAAACAAAAATATGTCCTTGTGTATGAATGTGTGTGTGTTCAATCACAACTCCCTTGTCTGAGTCATGTTGTTATCAGTGCAGATAAATAAATGTAGGACATGTTTGCTTGCAATCGCTACACGAACAGCGTTTATCAGGTTTGACACGAGTTGACAAACAAATGCCCGGTTGTACATGCAGATCATATTGATTACTAGTGCGGGCGGTATGAGAGTAACCTCGTACACAACTGTTATCTGTGTGTTTGTTCGTTGTTTAATGCAGCACTCAGCAATATTCCAGCTATATGACGGCGGTCTTTAAATAATCGAATCTGGACCAGACAATCCAATGACTGACATCATGATATGTCTTCACGGGACTCCAATTTGCTGTTATTTACATCAACGACTATCAGGTTACAGCTATTGGCGCTTTTAATCTAATGTAGTTGAGAGAGAAGTAGAATAGCAGCAATGTGTCCCAATATATCATATGACTTCGTCGAAATAATTGTAAACAGCAATGAATGACGTTTTGAATAAAATTAATAACATAGACAACAAACTTAAGTCCAGATATACAATAAACATTCTTTATAACCAGATAGTTTAATAAGGGAATTACCCTGCATACTTTGTCAAATCCCTCCCGCCAAACTTGTTTTAAAAAGTTGGATGGGAATCTAGTACCTTTATATAAACGGGGAAGAAATCATCAAAATTGTACAACAAATATATACGTAAAGTTGATAAGACATTATTTCTGCATTATAACAATAACAATTTTGTTCAGTGATATCCTAATTAGTTCTGATTATTTATCTTTATATTTTGAACATGAGTAAATTATTTGATAAAATTTGTGTCTGCATGCACAAAATGCACAAAATAAAGTTAAATATTGAAATCTATTTTTAGCGTTTTATAACGATGTTTAACCGAGATACATGTTCCGTAAGATGTAGAGTAATGAAGTGTGGTTAAAAAGGTAATGAAGTAATAATTTTAGGGCTACTTTCTGGTGGACGTCGTGTTCAAAACACTGACATAAATAACGATATAAATAATGCAACTACAAAGAAACAGAATAAATCTTCCGATTGACGCCAGTATCTAAGGACTTTCTTATATACTTAATGGAGTAATTTGTACTGGAAAATGGATAAATTGTGAATTTCTCGCATGCCGCCATTTTCTTTTTGTACGATAGAACAATGGGATGTTGCACGATGTTTCCGTTCGTTAATTCGCAAAATGTCAACGTATACATATACTTACTTATATTTAACAAATGTACTTTGGAAATCAGGAAAACCGACATAATTCAACGTTTATATGTGAAGGTTTGGAAGGCTGATTAGTCAATTCACGAAAATCTCGTAAATCTGAGAATCTCGCACAGTCTCGCGTGAAACTGCCGCTTGGTCTCGTGCTAGTGATCGGTCTCCAACTGGCCCTAAGGCACGTCCATCGGTACATGGTACCTGGTCTCCGGTCGAGTCTACTGTTATCGACGTCCAGCTGTACATAAGTGCTTGGCACTGAAATACGTTTGTATCATAAATACTAAAATACATACTCAATCATTTTATCTTTAAGAATAAACATAAGTAACCTTACCAAAAATATAAATTTGGCCGCCGGTCTCTATGAGATACTAAATGCATCTGTTATAGTTCAATGTAACGGTACATCAAGCTACATTCAACCAATGCGTTTCGAACATACATGCTACAGGAGTGAGTGAGTAAGTATGGTTTTACGTCGCTTTTAGCAATATTCCAGCAAAATCATGGCGGGGCACACCAGAAATGGGCTTCACACATTGTACCCATGTCGGGAATCAAACCCGGGTCTTCGGAGTGACGAGCGAACGCTTTAACCACTAGGCTACCCGACCGGGTGAATGAATGAATATTGTTTTACGCCGCTTCACCAATTTTCCAGCTATTCACGGCGTGATAGTTGGAAAAGAACAACGAAAATACCCCATGGTTAGGACTTAAGGAAGCTCCGAAACTGATGGCAGGTTTGATAGCCGTTGTGAGTCGTCACCAAAACGCAAAAGAGAACAGTATTTAAAAACACGTTATTACACGTGCAAAGTACGAAAACTGCAACGTTATGGCATTCAGAGGCAATCCGCATAATGGCTGTTGCCGCCTAAAAGGAATAGCACTGAGGACGCAATGTCGAGACTGACACATGAGGAAGGGGAAGGTGCCGTAATCCTTTCGTCATATGAGGAAGGCTCATGCCACTGATCGGCACATGTTCCGTTAAAAATGTCAGTGAGTGTGTGAGTATGGTTTTACGCCGAACCCGGGTCTTCGGCGTGACGAGCGAACGCTTTAACCACAAGGCTACCCGACCGCCCTGTCAGTTAGCTGACCCACATCACTATGTTATTGTTTATATCCCCTTTCAGCAACAGCTGTGTTGTGGTGCGACTGTCCTTCATCCGATAGAACCGTGGTTCACGAGACATAGACTTACACAGGCTTTCCCAAAAGCATTGACAAAAATTCTGTGTCTTATTATTGTACTTATTCACATATATTCTACTTATTCACATGTTACATTATGTGTCTAGTACATACTAGCTAGTATATATCACCCTGGTCATTCATATAAACTGAACTGCAAAAGAAACGTCACCCCAAGTAGTGAGTGAGTGAAAAGTTGTCATTTAAATATCTGGGTAATTTTTTTAAAATTTAACATTACCTTGTCCGGAAAAATGAAATTTGATGATAAAAAACAAAGGAGATGACAATAAAACCGATCGCCCAAACGCATCACGGCAACGGCCATGGTAACCCGATGCACGTGAGTTCCCTGCAAATTGAAATGCACATGCGTTCCCCAATTTCTTGCCCTTTAAAAATCCACCCAGATCGGATAACATTCATTCGTTATTGAATTGCTACCACATGCCAAGATTGACAAGAAATCAGCGACACCAAGCCCTTGCACGATTGCAAGCCGGCAAGTAGAAAGTGCATTTCAGGTCCACCTAAGGACCATATACAGGCACCCGCAAAAACGGTACCAGACCACAACACTACAGATGACCGACCAAGTAGTGGAAGACCAAGGGTCACCAGATCGTCAGATTGTGCGACAGCATCTTCAAGATCGCTTTGTTACTGCTGCAGAAACTGCTCGACAGACCATGGGGACGATTGACGAGCAGACCCCTCCACTGTCACAGGCCACACCGAGGACCCATTCTGACAGCACATCATCGCTAGGACTGTCTTCAATGGGCAACACAGCACCAGCAGTGGAGAAGAGTCCTCTTCTCAGACGAGAAGTCGTTAATGTATCTCAACTGCAGATGGCAGAGAGAGAGAGAGTCTGGCGACGCCGTAGGGAACGTTATTCGGATGCTTGTGTTGTTGAGACTCGTGTGGTGGTCGGAGCATCATGGTGTGGGGTGGAATTGGTCTTGCACAGAGGGTTGGCCCTGTGGTCTTCCAGAACATTGGTCCAGGGAGAGGCAATGTTGTCACAGCAGCTCGGTACATTGATCAAGCCTTGAGACCACACGCCATACCTCATTTGTCACGTCGCCGCAAACACGAGTTTCAGCATTATAACGCCCGTGCCCACACTGCGAGAGCAACAAGAGACTTCCTCCAGCAGAATGTCATCAGAACCATGCAGTGGCCTGACCTCAGTCCCGATTTAAATCCCATTGAGCACCTGTGGGACGTCCGATCAAGGCCGACAAGTGCAGGCTTTCCTCAGAGTGTGGGCTCAAGTTTCTTTGGCCTTCATCAACCGCCTCATCCATTCCATGTATCGACGTAGCACGGCTGTCATCAATGCACATGGCGGACACACGATATACTGACTTGTAATGCCATTTTCTCAGAGACTAGTGTTGTGTTTCACTTTAAGAATATTAGACGTTTTAATTTCAACCTTGATGATCAGTTGTGCCAAGATTCATCGTTTTAATATGTCTCAAAGTTTGTTTACCGTGTTTGGACAAATTAGCGTTCTCATATATCTATCTATGGTGACGTTTCTTTTGCGGTTCAGTATATTTTTGTTTCGAAAGTACATCATACCGTAAGAGGAGCTCAGGAAAGTCTCTGCTATGAAGGTTTATAGATAAATTGATCTCTTTTCAAATATTCTCCAACCAGTAAGGAAGCCGTATTTGAAACTATTTGCATGCGAAAAATGCGACACTCCCAGATTTGTATGTATTATATGTGCTTCGTAATTCATTGTATTGTTGTTGATAAATGAGTTGATTAGTGTCGGATTTCTTGAGTTTAGTGTAAGATCAACTTTTTAAAGGAAATAGAGCTGTACAGTAAACGTTTTTAATTTGTTTTGTATAAAATAAATGACTTCTTAACATTAGTAAAATAATAAATAACTGATTGTTCGTGGCTGTATCCTCGAAGGGGGTTAAAGTAGTGTAAAATTATTGTTCCCCTGAGAGGGTATCGTACGTCCAAATCATTCAAGGTATATTATTCCTACTATAGTTTTAATCGTATAATATGTGTTCTTCTTTGATAGGCATTTAGACTGAGTATGGTTTTACGCCGCTTTTAGCAATATTCCAGCAAAATCACGGCGGGGGACACCAGAAACGGGCTTCACGCATTGTACCCATGTCGGGAATCGAACCCGGGTCTTCGGCGTGACGAGCGAACGCTTTAACCACTAGGCTAACCGACCGCTCCGATAGGCATTTAGAAGTTGGAGTACTAAGTAAGGATAAGAATTTATGGATGTACAACTTCTTTATTACAATTAAGAGCGACGTTTCGTTGTAGGTTCTAACACCGTTATCAAGCAATATACAAGAATATGTGTTCTTTAAATTTGGCTAAATTTGTCAATAATCGCCAACACCTGAAGGGAAGATGTAAATCAGGCTGGGACCCATGCAGAAAGTTAAAGTACTGTAAGTCCCCATGGACCCTAGTATGGTAATCTACCGTCAGTTGCTGGCGATCTATAGCCCGTTTTTATAATGTTATGTTATGTACAGTGCTATTCTTTTAATGATTACATACTAGTTTTAAATATTTCTCTGTCGTAAGTC